ACCTTCCCGGGCTGCCTGCTCCTCACCTCACCTGCCCATCTGCACCGTGCATCCGAGGCCACCAGGGAGAACAGGGCCATCCGGAGAGGCCAGGCCTGGCCAGGGCCGTGACTCTGGGGAATGAGTGGAGCTGACCTCGCAGCCCCCTGAAGGGTGGGCGTGGTCCCCACCTGGTGGTGGAGGGCAGAGGGGTGTGCCCAGGGTCCTCTGACTCCAGAGCCTGGGCTCTTCCCCTCCCTTGGGACCCCCTCCTTCGGCCCCGCCTGGGGCTCTCCATGGGACCATCACCTGTCTAGGGGCCTCTGGGGATCTCAGTCACTTTCCTCAGGCTCCAGAGGGGACACTACACTGCCCTGCTGGGGGCTGAGAGGGAACGTACATGGACAGGTGGGCAGATGGCGGGTGTGTGGATGGGACCCCACTGGGGTACAATAGGATTTCGAGTGAAGGGAGAAGGGGAGGTTGGTTGAGGAGGGCATCCCACACCAGCTGCGGCTGGCTCTGGGGGCCATGGCAGAACAGCTCTGTGAGGTCTGGAGGCCTTTCAGGGGGGCCTCAGGCTCCGAGCTGACAATATGGGGCCAGGACCCTGAATCCGAGAAGGGCCTGTGGTCCAAGCTGCATAGCCCCTGGAGTTCCCAGCCCAGCTGCCCCGTTACATGGCTGACCCGGCGGTGGAGGGCTACAAGGCTCGCACTCCCCTCTGGGAATACTTCCTAATGAGCACCTGCTGGGTGCCAGGGGCTGTGTTTTCCCTCCACTCTCCTCCTGGCCCCCTAGTTCAGTGAAGGTCGCTTCCCCCAGGTGCCCACGGAGAAGTGGCCTGAGACTCCCAAGCCTCTCCACAGTGCCCTCTGGCTCGGGGGCCCTACTGCCGATGGTGCAGCTGCTCTTGGGAAGGCAGCCAGGCAGCAGCAGGTCGAGGCCTCCCCTCCTCGGGGTCGCCTGGCAAGAGGCAGAGCCACCTTGGAGACACGGAGTTGTGAAGGGAAGGCATGCACGAAGGCCGAGGTCGGTGCCCGCCAGGAAGCGCCAGGCCCCTGGGAGAAGCAGGCGCGGAGCCCCCTGGAGGCAGGGCCTGCATCCTAGGCCTTGCGGAACCCCACAAGAATATTATCAGGGCGTCGATAAACGCGTCAAAGATAACCAGGCACACAGAGAAACGAGGCCACGTGCGGGGGGACCTAGAGAAACATCCACACAGAGCCCCGGGGTGACAGGGCTGGAGGCAGCGAACCGCTGTGCCCGCTACATTTAAGGAAATAAAAGACAAACTTGGAAATATCTCCAGGGAATAGGAAACTTAGAAAGTAGCATAGTGGGTTTGTAAAACAACCCGATAGAACTTCTAGACGGAAAACATTAGTAACAAAGTAAAACCTCAGTGGCTGTGTTTGGTAGCTGACGGGACACGGGAGAGAATTAGTGAAGACAAAGTGTGCAGGCTGAGCACGTGGTCACACGGGAGAGAGGGGTCTGGACAGAGAGGACACAGGAGGAGGAAAGGAGAGAGTGGGCAGAGGAACCGACGAAATACACCAATCCAGATACGGGACGGACCCCTGTGTATTCCTAAGAAGGACAGATCCATGGCCAGACACCCCTCAGGGAAACTGCAGAAAACCCGCTCAAAGGCAACCGGAGAACAAGACAGGTTCCCCTCCCCTGCAGAGAGGCAGCTCCCGGGGCGACCGCTGGCGAGTCCCCACACCAACGGGAAGCCCTAGGACGGCACAGACGGTGTCCCCGGGTGCAGAGGGTGGCAGGTGACGTTCTCCTCAGTGAGAACACCCTTCAGAAACGGGGCAAAATAAAGACGTCTTCAGAGAAATAAAAACTGGAGAATTTGTCACCAGCAGAGCCGCACTAAAGGAAGTCCTAAGGGACCTTTAGGCAGAAGCCAGGTCTGAGATCCGGGAAAGCGGGGGACGGGGGCATCTGACGATGGGAACGCTGTGTAAGGGGGCGGTCATAACGTCTAACGGTCAGAAGACGGGGAGGATTCAAACTCTGGACCGTGAGACCCGGGGTGGGGGAAGGAGAGTCCTCAAGAGCCGGCCCCGGCTGCCGGGCCGTGAGAAGAAAGAGCCCGAGCCCCAGTTCTTTCCACCGATGTCGTTTATTAACGAACGTAAAACAGCGCTGAGCGAGACGGCATGCATGGCAGACGACAGGAGAGCAAGCCACAGACACGGAGTCGGGGCCTCGCCGCGTCTGAGGTAGAGCGAGGCGATGCCAGGGAGCGGGACTCCGCGGGACGATGGGCCGCGGAAGAGCTCGGGGAGGTGCTGGCCACACGGCGGAGACAGCTTAAAAACAGTCCACGTCCCTCCACCCGTTCCGGTTCCCCTCTTTGTGGACAGAGCTTCGGGGTGCCCTTGTCACTGGCTTGCTGGGTGTCCCCGCGGGACACCATCCTTCCCTCCAAGGGGCAGGCCCCACTTGCCCTGACCCGAAAAATAAAGGAGCTTTGTGTTAAAACGCCAAGGCTGCCATCCGGGGAGCTGGAGGCCAAGTGCGTTAAGAAAGACCCTTTTTCTCTAGAAAAATAGTTTCGCTTTATAAAAGGGGGGGACGCTCATCCCAGGTGGGGGAGGGTGTTGGCGCGTGGAAACGTTCTCGGGGAGCTCCGTCGCGGTGGGGCTGGGGCGGACAGACAGTCCTCGGGCTGGACGGGGTTCGGCCGGTGGAGACGGCAGGGCCGGGGAGGACGGGGGTCGGGGGGAA